TCAACTTTAACTATGTGTGGTACTAATCTCACTTCCACTTAACACCTATTCTAGGTCTTTAGAATTCTTTGATTAATTGCTAGACTAGTTATGGGCCAAGCCCAATTAATCCAACACCAAATGCTGTAGACTACTAATAGACCAGATATTACTGGGCTTAGTAGGATTTTACAACTGAGGGTACATTTCCCATCGCTCTTTTTATTTTCTGCTTTATTAGTTTATTCTATGTCGCTTACCACTGGATTGGTGATTTGTAATCAATGCTACGGGGGTTTTCTCATAGCTGTGTCGTGTAACTCTTTTTTCTCTTAACGAAACATGTGCTAAGACACGTGTGTGGAAAAAAATCACATTTGAGCACAACAGTCAGAATTTGGCGAGCAGCAACTCCCTAGTAACTTATCTGAAACCAAGTTCCACCTGTCGCCTGTCACTGAGGCTACACTGAGCAAAGTTCGGAAGTCGTCCCTGACCTGATGCTGGCATATGAGGTGAATGCAGACGACCCTATCGATTCAATTTCTGTTTCTTGTTCTGGTGGTATCAACACTCTGCTTGCCAGTCATCATGACTTCAGTACTTCACTAACGCTGGAGACAGAATTGATCCTTTTTTGTCAGCTCATGTGGCCATTACTGAAGATTGGAGCCAGGTCGCTCCGAGACTGGCCGAGGATTTACATTGGTTGGAATTATATGAACGCTAGTCAGTTCGATAGGAGACAATGCTCTGGGAGGCTGGCATTCATACAGAGCTTCTAAAACAGCGCTGAACCGATGTAAGTGGACAAGAAGATGTTCCGTTTCCTGTTCTCATTTTTTTATGTGGTTGTTTCTGTTGTTTTGAGTTCTCCCAGTTGTAGTTTCTGTTGTTTACTTCGTCCAAGGCCGTTGTTTGTTCAGTTTGGGCCTGCTTCTTTATTAATATAAATTGGTAGCTCTCCTGATTGGTTCGTTTTAAAAAAATTATGTTCTTATTTTTACACAATCCTTCCAATCACACTAATCTCGTCATCCTTGTAATCTAAGCTGTTTTGACGTTGCATGTATTATTCTGTCCTAAGTAACCTAGAACTTGTACAGCTATTAAATTTTATTTGTTCTATGAATTGTTTCCTGAACTTCATTGCTCATGTAATGCAGTGACCAAGACAATGTTAGTGAGTTTTGCAGGAGGACACCAATGCCTGCATCCTGGGAATTTTTTTTAAATAATATTATTTTAATAAATAATTGCAAATCTGGGTGTTCATTTTACAAAATTGCACAATTAGCTACCTATCGGTTGCCTAGAGGTCTATAGGACACCTGTCGGCTATTGAGTTGCCGGCAGCCTACGTGGCATATGGAAACCATAGTGCAGAGTCCAGTCGGTAACTGGTTAGCCGACTAAAGTCCTGGCGGCCACCAATCGGCTCTCCGTTGACCGATATCCCGGCATAGCCAGATTGGTCGGCTATTGAATTGCCGGCAGCCTACAGTGTAGAATCCAGTCGGTAACTGGTTAGCCGACTAAAGTCCTGGCGGCCACCAATCGGCTCTCCATTGACCGATATCCCGGCATAGCCAGATTGGACTCCCGACATTGTTCGCTGTGCTGGAGCAGCCGGCTTGCTAGCTGTGTTCACCCATTCAGCTACAATATTTTGGTTTTAAAATTTCTTTTTTATATTATACAAAAATATCTAAAGATCTAAAAAAAATTATGAATTTCTAAGTAGATGCAAAGGAAAAAATCAAACACAAACTATTTTGAGAATTACACGTAGGCAAACCCGGTCTCGAAATTCATGAAGTCGCCACAGGCGCCCCACTGTTGACGTGGACGTCACCTACCACTGAAAGTGGTAGCACTGTTAAATTCTGGAATAAATCTAGAAAAATACGATCATCCGTACCAAGTCGAGGACTTAAACCTAGGTGGACAAGTTCCACCACACCCAACCAACTGATCTATGATCAGTTCACAACCAACTCGATGGACAGCCCTCGATTCCGCCACGAGGACTCTGACGCCATAGTAGATCGCCATCTATTCGAGCTGCCCTCCCGGTCCTTTCGCTCAGCCTAGGACTTCGTCAGCTCCACTACTCCTGGACATGTAAAGTGTTGTCTGGATGCGCTAGCATGGTTAGTTAGTCACGCCAATTTATTTAGCGTGACTGTAGTCACGAGTTGCACTACGACATTTGGCGTGACTAAAACGCGAGTTACTAAAATTTTAGTTTGTGACATGCTCTTTTTAAAATATTAGTTTTTATATCAATAGTCATTAATCATTTGCAATGTTTTAAATCTCCCACTATATTATAAACTGAATATTAATATGAATATGAATACATATATCCATATTCAAATTTTATTGGAAACGAATTCTTGAAAATTGAAATACTCGATGTCCGCGAAAGGGTCTGTAGGCTAGTGGTTACAAGAGCCTTAGTAGCACCTTAGGCTTGCGTGCGTGCACCATAGGGGAGAGTGTGTGTGACTCGATGTCCAGTTCCATCAGTACTCAACTGCCGTCTCTTTGCTGGATTCCAACGGCGGCATCTAAATGCCAAAAAGCACATGCAAGGATCGAAAGGAATAACTGGACCCCAGAGTACCTGGTGTGGCCGAGCCTATGGCTTATCGGCTACAGGAAGGCCGAGAGGGTTGTTCGATGTCCAGTCGGCCCTTGGGATGCCGATATGTCAGTCGGCACAGAAAACTTTGATGTGGCTATTCTCACATTTACGTGGCGCCACTAATCGGGCTCCAAGGCGCCGATATGACCATATCGGCTGACCAATAGCCGATAAGTGTCCAATCGGCTTTCCAAGTGTGGATAGGCATTTATTCTTGCAAATTTTCCGTAACACCATCTAGATTAGCAATTACTTATTAAAATAATATTATTTGACAAACACCCTGGAACACCGTGGACACTGACCTCTCACAGCCATTTCAGAGAAACAATGTCCCCAAGGATAAGCTCTTCACGAGAGAGTTCTCTGTATAGAAACTTCTCTCCACCATTAACAACGTAAGAAATTGGGCAGCACACGCCATGGAGGCCGAGGTGTGCTCCAACAACGTACCCCCAGCGCGAGGACACGGCCACCCCCTCCCTGCCACCGCGAGGGGGACAGCCCGCCGACGAGGCGCGCCCACGAACCCTAGGGCCATGCCCCCAGCCGCCGACATGTCAACACCTCCCGGGCCAGCCAAACGCGGGAGCTCCACCGCCAAGAGGTTAAAGCGGTTCACCGCAAAGATCCTGTGTAAGATGTCGTCGCCGCTGCTGCCTCAGCCAGATATCGAGGCACAACTAAAGTTGCTGACTCGCAGCAGGAGGATTGCTGCTCAGGCGCTGTCACGCGTCTCAGCTTCTAAGCGGGGAGAGGTGCGGGTGATGAAGCGAATGGGCTATGTCGACGGGCAGACGATGCCTTCCACGGCGTCAAGGACGCCTACGACAGTATCTTTATCGACCAGCTCAACCCCTCGCATGCTGAGGCAATATGACAGCTCTTCCCAGACCCACAAGGAGAGCGACCGAGGCGCCGCGCACGCCAGCGCGTCTCAACGCCGATGATGGCTACGTAGCATGATTAGCGAGTAATAACCCATGATCTTCTTATGTTAGGGATGGTAGAGCCGATTGTATAACACTAACGCACCCACCCTAATGTGACATGTCTGTGGCGCGTCGTTGTAATTTTCACTATTTCTCAATTTTAATTCTTAATACAAAGATGCACAAACTTTTTTGCGTATTCGGAAAAAACAACGTCAAGAAAATGACAACGGCAAGTTCTTCGTATGGGATGGCCAAGAAATCCTTGGTGAGCAGTCGTCATCACTCTTTAAGTCAACAGCACAGCAGTCAACAACGTCCTTGCATTTGATTCAACGGTGCCTTTTTTCAACATGCATTATTTTTACGGGTTCTTTTCACGTTATTACGACCGACCTAAGCTGAAGCTGTAGAAAGGGCCTCGTGCAAATGCAAGGACACAAAGGTCAATTCCATTTTTCAACTACTTTTCAGCTGTTTAGGAAATAGGAACGATGGAAATTGCCTGTTGATGAGTTATTGTAGTCCTTTAAATTCTGAGAGGTTTTCTCATCGATGATCTATCAATCTGCTCCATATTCATCACGCTAAATTTCTTCTGTACTGTTACTGTATAATTCGAAAAAAATCACTTTCCGAACAGGATGCAAATTGCAATGCTAGACCAGTTCTACAGGTCCTGTTCTTACATGTACATAAATAATAATAACTTCTGAAATGCTACTTATAACATTCAACTTGGAAGTAATAATAAGAAAAATACAGTCATCCTAACCCAAATTTGGAGATCCCCATCCGATACGTGTGAACTGGCGTGAATATGCGACACTGGCGCGACGTCGCGTGTGTGGAATGGTCGGAACACAGGGCACTCGAGTGTTTTGGTGGTCGAAAACACTCTTTTTTCTTCATAACTTCTTCCTCAAGCCCGACGCGCCGCCGCCACCCACCATCCCGCCGCAGCGTGGTAAGGTTTCGCCGGAGCTCCGCCAGCGTCTGCGACGGCCTCCTCCTTCCCCTCCCCCCTCCTGTCGTTGCCATGGTCATGGGCGCCCTTGCCCCGACCTAGCCCATCCGCCTCCTCCGCCGGCAGAACCCTAACACCGCTCTCCCGCCGTCCCACCATCGGGCCAGCCTGCCTCCCTCGAGCCCCTTCTAAGCCCGTCGGAGTTGGGGAAGAAGAGAGAAAGAGGCCATAGATGGAGAAGAATGAGAGGGTGAGGAAAGAGTGTTGAGAGAGAGAGAGAGAGAGAGGAACACTCGAGTGTCATTTAGCATTTCTCTTATTTTAGCACTGTCGTCATGGTCTTCCGATCATATACAAGATACAAACACATTACACACAACTCCCTTTCAAACGGCTAATTCTTGACTTGATGCGTTATCGCTGAACAAAGTCCTGCGCAATGATCTGAAACCAAAATCATCGTACAGCCATTTCAACAACTGGAGAAGGCTGACGGCTCCGTGGCTCTGGAATGCCCAATGCCGGAGCCAGTGCCAATATCATCGCCGCCGGCACTCATGGTCGTCGCCAGTTCCAGAGACGACGTTATGGAGCCAGGACAATCGGCCGGCGGCCCGTAGGTAGCAACTGGCATCTTCGCGGGCAGGCTCGGCGGCGGAGCCTCGAACCGCAGCACGTTAACGGCCTGCCTGACGGTGGGACGCAGGCCGCGGTCCGGGTGCGCGCACCAGAGCCCGACGAGCATCGCGCACGCCATCTCCCGGCTGTCGAACTGCCCCCGGAGCCGCGCGTCGGCCGCGTCGAGGATGGTCCCGCCGCCGTACGCGTCCCAGACCCACTGAACCAGGTGGACGAAGTACTCCTCCTCGTCCCCGGCGTGCCGCACCGCCGGCCGCCGGCCGCAGGCGATCTCGAGGAGCAGGACGCCGAAGCTGTACACGTCCGACTCCACGGTCGCCCTCCCGGTGAGCACGCACTCCGGGTCCATGTACCCCATGGTGCCGGCGACGCCCGTCGTGTGTGACCGCCGGTCGTCGTCGATGAGCCGAGCGAGCCCAAAGTCGCCAAGCTTGGCGGTGAACGACGCGTCCAGCATCACGTTGCTCGGCTTGACGTCCCGGTGCACCACGCGCCGGTCGGCCTCCTGGTGCAGGTACAGCAGCGCGGCGCCGGCACCGAGAGCGATGCCGTACCTGACCGGCCACGTCAGGACATTTCCCTCCGGGTCGTAGAGATGCGTGTCGAGGCTGCCGTTGGGCATCAGCTCGTAGACGAGGAGGAGCTCGTCGTCGCCACCGTGGCACCAGCCGATGAGCTGCACGAGGTTCCGGTGCCGGAGACGGCTGATGATCCTCACCTCGGAGACGAACTCCTTCCAGCCCTGTCGAGAGGTCTCCGACACCCTCTTCACGGCCACGTCGCGGTTCGTGTCGGTCAACAGCCCACGGTACACGGAGCCGAAGCCGCCTCTCCCGAGTCTCCGGTCGTCGGAGAAGTTTCCTGTGGCTGCGGCGAGCTCGTCGTAGCAGAATCGTAGGGGCCCGGTCAACCCCTGTTCGAGGTCGTCGTGAACAGGTTTGCCGCGGAAAAGTCTCGCATCTTTCGGTGTTTGATGTTTGGATGCCTCCGTCGCCGTCATGATCTTGGCACTCCGGCGCCGTTTCTGCGGACTGATGAGGCACCATGCTGACCACAGACCGATGATGAACAACAGGAAAGCGAAAGACACGCCGGCGACAGCTGCCGGTAGCTTCCGGTTCTTCGAGTTGGAGTCAGGGAGATCGTCTTTTGTCCCAGCGCAAACGTTAGATTGTTGTTAGATAGTATACTTGTTGGATATTCAGTGTTGACAACCACAAGTCGTACGCAATGCAACACTCTGAAAAACGTTCTCACCGTGGTAGCATCCGTTGCCAGCGGCGAACCCATCTCCGACCATCCCGTCCGTGCACCTGCACCGGTGACCCCACGTCCCTCTTGGCGTCTCCACGTCATGGCACGTTGCGTTCTTGGCGCACGGCTGGGCACCGCTGCTGGTGGCGTTCGAGCACGTCCCGTTGAGCCACCAGCCCAGCTCCGCCATGCCAAACTCCTGCGACGCCGCCGCCGCCGCCGCGCGCGGTGCCTCCCCGTCGTACACCGACGCCGTCAGCGCGTCCCCGCAGCCGGTGCCTTCCACCTTCTCCCACGCCATGAACTGGCCCTGGCCGCTCTCCGCCTCTGCGCTGTTGGGCGGCGGCGGCATCGAGGAGACGCACGCCCAAACGGTGTCGTCGGTGCTGGCGCAGGGCGTGGTGGGAAGCAGCCAGCTGTTCATGTCGTCCGATGGGGCGGTGCAGTTGGCGGCCCCCGGTGCACGGCAGTCGCCGCGTAGGAAGAGGCCAGTGCGGGAGGAGATGGCGTAGCCGGCGCCGGTGAGCGACGCCTTGGCCTCGGGGACGCTGCGGTTGCACGAGGGCTCGATGGAGACCAGAAAGGTGGAGGTGGTGGAATTGAACGAGAGGATGGGGTACGGCGCGGCCGCCGTGCTGTGCGGGAGCAGTGGCGTCGACGTGGCAGCGTTGCAGGCCAGAGGGATGGGACAGTCACCAGAGAAGCCGAAAGGGTATGGGACGACGGAGCCAACGCAACGGTGGTTGCACCCGCCACCGCCATCGCCGGATATGGGGAAGGCTCCGCCATCAGCAGAAGTGGAGAAGGCTCCGCCGGGGAGCAGGAAAAAGACGACGACGAGAAGGGGCATATCCTGCTACTCTGGTCTGCGCACAGTATGCCCGGTCTTTGTAGAGTAGTAGCTGACAGCGTTCGGCTGGTATGAAAACAATACTGTTCATGCTAAAACACTGTTCATCTTGATTTGAAACACTGTTTATTCTGCTTTGTTGTGAGAGAAGCTCCTCTCCATCATTGACAACATCAAGAAAAGCGACAACGGCAAGTTCTTCGCATGGGATGGCCAAGAAATCCCTTAGTGAGTGGTGGTCACTCGTTTAGCTGTTAAAGTCTACAGCACAGCCGCGTCCTTGACCCGACAGTGTTTTCTTGGTCAGTATGTATCGTTTTTACCGGTCCTTTTCATGTCATGCTCAACCTATATTGTAGAAGGCATGGAAATTAGTTTCCCCTACTTTCCTTTGATTCAATTTTGGCTGCTTAGCAGTGGTGGGGGTGCTTGCTGATGAAGCGATGAGTGATGAGACAGATATTATTGGAAGTCCTTCAATTCTGATAGGTTTTCCCATTCATGATCCATCAATCTGGTCCTGATGCATCACTCTGAATGTCTTTTGAAACAAAACACTTCCCGACGGGTTGCAATGTTAAACCAGTTTACAGGTCTTATGAACGCTGAATGTCTTCTGAAACAAATCACTTCCCCACGACCCACGCCACCAGCAAAGACCACTGCTCATACCGTCATACGGCTGTGCGCAAGCTAGCATAGCAGAATGTGCTCCTCCTTTTCTTGCACACGGGCCACGGCTCTCTGGTTCTCTCTCTCCTAATATCTCTACTAGTCACACGGCTATCCTCTCCCCCTCTTCACTGGCAATTGGCATGTTTCAGCTTTGCAATATTATGCAGGTAGGATAGGAATAGGACTAGCAGCAAGCAACCAACCGAAACTAGCACTCGAAACTAGTGAAAAAGCAGAGACAAACCAGTATGCACACTAGCTCCCTAGTCCCTACAACATGCACCGACTCTTCCTCCTTGTCTTCCTCCCCCATGCAACCTTCTCCGCAACCGCCGGCGGCCGGTGCGACCGGCAGTGCGGCAGCACCTTGGTGCCGTACCCTTTCGGCTTCTCCGGCGCCTGCCCCATCCTCCTGGACTGCAACGCCACCGCTTCCTACCCAACAGCACCGCGGCCGCGCCGTACCCGATCGTCTCGTTCAATTCCAGCACCTCCACCTTCTTGCAACCGCAGCGTATCCAAGGCGCAGGCGTCGCTCACCGGCTCCTGCTACGGCGTCTCCTCCCGCACTGGGCTCTACCTACGCCGCAGGTGCAGTGCGTCGGCTGCATCCTCCAGCTGCATCGTCCCCGACGACGTTCTGTCAGGTCTGCTCCCCACGGCGCTGCAGTGCGGCGCCGCCAACCGCGGCAACGATATCGCCTCGACGTGCGTGTCCTCGCCCCCAGTCCTCAACAGCACAGCGGTAGCGAGGGGCGTGGAGGGCCAGTTCCTGGACTGGAAGAAGGTGGACGACTCTGGGTACGAGGATGTCACGTCTGCGGTGTACGTCTACACTGTTGGCCACAGGAACGGCTCAGGTGAGTTGTTTCCTCACCGGTCTTATCGAGCACCCGCTAGTATTGTCGAGCACCTACTAACCATGCCGACCATAAACGAGCGTTGTCCGTCCTCACCCAATATAGCTAGAGCTTGAAGAAAAAGGGAGAACAGAGCATACACACACAGTACAAGACACCAGCATTGACCGAAGCCCTGTATGGGAGATGGCAAATCTGAACTCTCTTTACTGAGTTGTCGTGGTAGCCTATTTATACAACTCTATTCTTCTAGTTCTAGTACAGCTGTCATGCTGCTACAGGAACTAAATAACATACCAGGCTGACTCTGCGTCGGCCTCTGCACGTGCCTACAGTGCTGTAGGTGAGCCGTGCGGCGCCTGCACCTACAGCGGCTACAGTATCACAGCAGGGGGGCTTTTTTGGCGCCGCCTTCCCTTACTGTGTTCACACAAGATAGCAGTGGATTATCTAACTATCTTCCCTTAATCCTACTGCTAACCCTTGTACCTCCTCCGTGCCGATCATCTCCTTCAGCTTCGTGAGTCGAAGGCGTCCGAGCGGTTTGGTGAGGACGTCCGCAAGTTGCCGACCAGTTTCGACGAACTCGAGGACGATCTGCCCTTCATCGACGCAGTCCCTGAGTAAGTGGAACTTCACGTCGATGTGCTTGCTCCGGTCGTGCAGAACCAGATTCTTCGCTAGGGCGATGGCGGGCTGGTTGTCCACCATCAGTGCTGGTGGGTGAGCTTCCACGCCGGTCAGCTCGTCCAGCAGCCGACGCAGCCACACAACTTGGCACGCCGCTGTGGCCGCCGCTACGTACTCTGCCTCACATGTAGATAACGCCACCACCTTCTGTTTCAGCGACAGCCATGAAATTGGAGCCGATCCGAGGAAGACGAGCACGCTAGAGGTGCTCCGTCGTCCGTCGATGTCCCCCGCCATGTCTGCATCGCTGAACACAGTGAGCTACAGCCTATTCCCGCTGGTCTTGGGGAAGGTGATCCCGTGATCCATTGTCCCTTTGACGTAGCGCAGTAGCCGCTTCACCGTAGCCCAGTGATCCTCTCTGGGATCCTCCATGAACTGACTGACATAGCCCACGGCGAATGCGATGTCCGGCATCATGTGGACTAGATAGCGCAACCCGCCAACAATGCTCCGGTAGAGTGTTGCATCCACCTTCGTCGCGGTACTGGCCTTCGTCAGCTTCAGCCGCTCCTCCATTGGAGTCACGCATGGCTTGCACTCAGCCATGCCGCTCCACTCCAACAGCTTCGAGGCGTACGCGCTCTGCCCGAGCGTGAGTGCCTCCCTCCCATGTCTCACCTCGATGTCGAGGTAGTAGGTGAGTGCCCCGAGATCGCTCATTCAAAAACGAGCTATCATCTCGCGCTTGAAGCTGTTGATGTCCTCCGTGCGCGCGCCTGTGACGATTAAGTCGTCTACATACACGCCGACGACGAGCTTCTCCTTCCCCGTCGCCACGTGTAGAGAGCGTGCTCAGTTGCACACCTCGTGAACCCAAGCTCGCCCAGCGTGGCGTCAAGCTTGGCGTTCCATGCTCACGGGGCTTGCCGCAGCCCGTAGAGCGCCTTGCGCAGTCGGAGCACCATGTACTCCTCTCCTTTGACAGCGAAGCCTGGAGGTTGTCTGACGAAGACCATTTCCGCCAGCTCGCCGTTGAGGAAGGCCGATTTAACGTTCAAGTGATGGATGCGCCAGTCTTTTGCTGCTGCCAGGGCTAGTAGCAAACGGACCGACTCCATGCGCGCTACTGGCGCAAAGACCTCCTCGAAGTCGATGCCCTCGCGATGTACAAAGCCTCAGGCCATGAGGCGCGCCTTGTGCTTGACAACGACGCTATGCTCTTCCCGTTTGACCTTATACACCCACTTTAGACTGATCGGACGACATCCCAGAGGCAGATCAACGAGCTACCAAGTCTCGTTTTCCTCAATTGCCATCATCTCCTCCAGCATCGTCCGTCGCCAATTTCCATCGCGCTCGACTAGCACGAACGTGGGTGGTTCCTCAGCACTGACAAGTAGCAGCTCTGGGTCATTGAGCAGCCTACCCGCCAAGCCTGAGGGACCTGTGCCGCCGACGATGTCGTCCAGCCTGCGGAACCGCACCTCGTCACCTTCGTGGTAGGCGTCCACGAACTCAGTGATGTCATATGGAATTGAGGTGAACTCGATCGGCGTCGATGGAGTTCCATGTTCCACCTGAGTGCTCGGCAGAGCACCTGGACTGCTCGGCACCCCGGATACAGTGCTCGGTAGTATTTCTGGTCTTTTCGTCATAACTCCTGCAGTGTTTGGCCACACTGTAGGAGTGCCCAGCCTCAGTCTTGGAGTGGTTGGCACCACTGCAAAACATCTTGGCTCTGCCATGGGAGTGCTCGACACCTATCCTGAAGTAGTCGCGCCACTGCAGAACCTCCCGGCACCACTCCTGGCATGCTCGGCATCCCTCCAGGAGTGCTCAGCACTCCTCTCAGAGTGCTCGGCATCCCTCCCGAAGTGCTCGGCACTGCCCAGGAGTGCTCGGCACTTCACCCGGAGTGCTCGGCACCTCTTCCCCAGCATCTCCACCACCGTGGATGACCAAGTGCTCGACGACGAAGGTGTTGGTGAAGCCGCCAGCTTCCCCCGTGCTTGGACTGCTATAGTCCCAAGCTACCTTCTCGTCGAACACGACGTCGCGCGAGACAAGCATCTTGTCTCCGCGTGGGTCGTAGAGCCGGTACGCCTTGGTACCCTCCACGTAGCCTAGGAACACCATGGGTGTGCTCCTGTCCTCCAGCTTGGTAAGGTTTGGCTTTGTCTTCCTGACGTGGCCAATGCAGCCGAATGTCCGGAGGAAGGATACGCTCGGCTTCTGCCCATACCAGGCCTCGAACGACGTTTTGCCCATCAAGGCCTTGGTAGGAGCTCGGTTGAGGATGAACAACGCCGTGGTCACCGCCTCCCCCTAGAATCTTGCCGGTATTCCCTTGGTCTTCATCATGGATCGAGCCATGCCGACCACCTTCTGGTTCCGTCGCTCCACCATGCCATTCTGTTGTGGCAAATACGGCGCGGTGTGGTGTCGCACCACACCCTATTCCGCGCATTATGCAACGAACTTCACCGAAGTGAATTCACTGCCGCGATCAGTCCTCAGCGTGTGAAGCTTCTTGCCGCTTTCGGCCTCCGCGCGCGTCTTGAACTTCTTAATCGCCACCGCCGCTTTGTCCTTGCTCGTCAGGAGTTGCAGCCACATATAGCGGCTGTAATCATCTACGAGCAAGAGGAAGTACCGCCGACCACCGCTTGAAGCTGGCGTGATCGGCCCGTAGAGATCATCGTGGACAAGCTCGAGAGCGTTCTTCGCGCAATACTTGGCCGCCTTTGGGTATGGCAACCTCCTCTGCTTTTTGGCCAGGCAGCTGTCACACAGCTCGCCTCCGTGCTCAATGTGGGGTAGCCCTCGGACCATCTTCTCCAGCCGATCAAGCGCGTCGAAGTTGAGATGTCTGAACCGGGCATGCCACAACCACGTCTCCTCGGTATTCCTTGCCGCCAGGCACACCGGCTGCTCTACCTTCAGGTCGAGCAGGTACAACCGGTTTAGGGACCTCTTCACCTTGGCAAGAAGTCGCTGCTCCCGGTCTCTGATTCTTAGGACTCCGTCCTTGATCAGTACCTCGCTACCACGCTCATTCAGCTGACCAATGCTGATGATGCTGGAACGCAGCTGCGGGATGTAATATACATCCGTTAGCGCGCGGTGCTCCCCGTTCTGGCACCTAAAGATGATGGTGTCGCGCCCTTGGACAGCCACCCTTGAGCCGTCACCAAACTTCACCGTACCAGTAACATCGTCGTCAACCTCGAAGAAGGCTTCCTTGGAGCCCGTCATGTGGTTGCTGGCACCGGAGTCTAGATACCACCACTGCTCCTGGTCGGCGCCCACTCGTCCAAGGTGGACTTGGGCGCGCAGTTCATCGATGTCGATAGCCTTCAGGGCCTTCCCAGACCCTTCCACTGCCATCACCTCCACCTTTTTCTCGGCCTCGACGTCTTGCAGTGCATAGAATGTCGCCATCAGGATAGTGGTCTCATCCTCATCATCGGCTTACGTCAGATGAGCCCGAGCCTTCTTCTCCTGCTTGTGGTTTAGGCACTCCCGTGCCCAATGACCCATCTTCCCGCAGCGCCGACATGCATTGGGGTCGACCTGCTTCTTCTTCTCCGAAGAAGCCTTGCCGCGGCGCTTGCCATCGCCACCACGGCTGGAACAAGCTGCCTTCCCGGAGCTCCTCTGAGCAGCCCACTCCTCCTCTGTCAGCAGCAGTTTGCCGCTGTCCTTCGTTGTTGTCGCCTGCTCTAGACGCTCGTCCACCGCCCGCAGACGGCCTATCACATCCTCAATGGTGAGGGTGGACAAGTCCAGCATCGTCTCTATGGAGAGAGCGATCTGGATGTACTTTGCCGGCACGGAGTGGAGGTACTTGGAGACCGCCTCCTCTTCGTCGATGGTTACGCCGTGGCTCTTCAGCTTGCTGATGAGCGTCTGCAGGCGGAGGAAGGAATCCTCCACCGTCTCACCATCTTTGAACTTGATGTTGGCGTACTCCTGCTTCAGAAGCTAGGCCGTCGCCTTCTTTGCGCGGTCGGAATCGATGCGCATCGCCGCAATAGCCTCCCACGCCTCCTTTGCAGAGCTCTTCGTCCTCCAACGGCACCCTGTACTTCGCCAATACAGCAGCGAGAATAGCCTCCAACGCTGACATGTCATCTTCCTCATTGTCGGTGCCCTTGTCAACAGCATTCCAGAGCCGTCGGGCTCTGAGCTTGACCTTCATGGTCACCGACCACTCTCCATAGTTGGTGCGAGTCAGCGTCGGCCAACTGGTGTCGCTGACCTCCCGCACCGTACGAACAACGACATTCGGTCGTGGCTGGACAGCCACAGCAGTGCCACTGCTGTCGCCCATCTCCGAACCGTCCGTCATCGCCAGCGGTTAGTCTGGCGATGGAGCTTGTACAGCTCCGATACCACTTGTTGTCCCACAGGATCACCGGCTCAGATGAGTTACCCACTCACCAGTCTTACCGAGCACCCACTAGCTGTGCCGACCATGAACAAGCGTTGTCCGTCCCCACCCACTATGGCTAGAGCTTGAAGAAGAAGGGAGAACAGAGCATACACACACAGTACAAGACACCAGCGTTGGCCAAAGCCCTATATGGGAGATGACAAATCTGAACTCTCTTTACTGAGTTGCCATGGTAGCTTATTTATACAACTATATCCTTTTAGTCATAGTACAGCTGCCATGCTGCTACATAAACTAGATAACATACATGGCTAACTCTGCGCCGGTCTCTACATATGCCTACAGTGCTGCAGGTGAGCCGTACGACGCCTGCACCTATAGCGCTACAGTATCACAGCGGGGTTTTTTTCCGATGCCGCCTTCCTTGCTGTGTTCGTGGCACTGGATTAACTGGATTATGTAACATACACGCCGCCGGAGGGGGTGCGCTCGGTGGAGTTCGGCGTCGCGGAGCTGGGGTGGTGGCTCAACGGGCCGTGCAATTACAGTAACAGTGCTGCCACCACCAGCATCCAGTGCACCGCTTACGCGACGTGCTATGACGTGGAGACGCCGAGCGGAGCGTGGTGTCACCATTGCACGTGCCCGGACGGGATGGCCGGCGACGGGTGCCACTACGGTTACGGTTAGCGCGTCTCTTTAATTTCTTTTGGTATCCTCACTTTTAGTTGTTATTGGCTCCTTGTCAACCGTCCAAAACTAACAATCCAACGGTTGGTTTGGAATATGAAGCCCCCGTCCGCGGCAAGCTACCGGCGGCGGCGATTGCTAGCATCGTTTCTGCCGCCTCCTTTGTGTTCTTCTTCTCCATCAGTCTGTCGATTTGGTTCCGCCTCCGGCAGTGGAAACGGCAGAAGAATCCCATGCTAATGAGGAAGACTGCCAAACACGCACCAGACAAAATACTTTTCCGCGGCAAACAAGTGGAAGACGACCTCGAGGAGGGGGTGGCCGGGCCCCAGCGATTCAGTTACGACGAGCTCGCTGCAGCCACTGGAAACTTCTCCGACGGCCGGAGACTCGGGAGCGGCGGCTTCGGGTGCGTGTACCGAGGGCTGTTGACCGACAGATCCGACACGAACCGCCGCGACGTGGCCGTGAAGAGGGTGTCCGAGACCTCGCGACAAGGCTGGAAGGAGTTCGTCTCCGAGGTGAGGATCATCAGCCGTCTCCGGCACCGGAACCTCGTGCAGCTCATCGGCTGGTGCCATGGCGGCGGCGACGAGCTGCTCATCGTCTACGAGACAGCTGCTGACGTGGCCGGTCAGGTACCGCATCGCGCTCGGCGTCGGCGAAGCTCTGCTGTACCTGCACCAGGACGCCGAGCGGCGGGTGGTGCACCGGGACGTCAAGCAGAGCAACGTCATGCTGGACGCGTCGTTGACCGCCAAGCTCGGCGACTTCGGGCTCGCCCGGCTCATCGACGACGACCGGCGGTCGCACACGACGGGCGTCGCCGGCACCATGGGGTACATGGACCCGGAGTGCGTGCTCACCGGGAGGGCCACCGTGGAGTCGGACGTGTACAGCTTCGGCGTCCTGCTCCTCGAGATCGCCTGCGGCCGGCGCCCGGCGGTGCGGCGCGTCGGGGACGAGGACGAGGAGTACTTCGTCCACCTGGTCCAGTGGGTCTGGGACGCGTACGGCGGCGGGACCATCCTCGACGCGGCCGACGCGCGGCTCTGGGGTGAGTTCGACGGCCGGGAGATGGCGTGTGCGATGCTCGTCGGGCTCTGGTGCGCGCACCCGGACCGCGGACTGCGGCCCACCGTCAGGCAGGCCGTCAACGTGCTGCCGTTCGAGGCGCCACCGCCGACCCTCCCCGCGAAGATGCCAGTTGCTACCTACGGGCCGCCGGCCGATCGTCCTGCCTCCACAACGTCGTCTCTGGAACCGGCGACGACCGTGAGCGGCGGTGATGGCGTTGGCACAACGGAGCCGTCGGCCTTGTCAAGTTGATGAAATGGTTGTATGATGAGTTAGGTTTCAGATCATTTGCGTAGGGCTTGTTCGGCTCTGATAACCGTTGTTTCTACAGTTCACAACCGAGCTACTGAAGTTGTTAATTTGCAACTTACTGAACATTTGTTCAACAGGACGCATCAAGTCAAGAATCAGCAGTTTGAAAAGGGAGCTGGGTGTATATGTGTTTGTTACGTATGTTTCATCAAAATCAGAAGACCATGATGACAGTGCTAAATTAAGCTTTGACTCAAAAATGCTTCAGTTATTGAAATGGCCATGAAATCCCATGGTGATTGCAAGATGTTTCAGTCAATGCACAGTTGCAAGCCAGCATGCAGAGTTACAGCTGACACAATTTGCGTCTAAGCTGCCACCTTCATCAATTTTCAGCAGAGGGCCGATGCCGATCCAGTTACATCTGAACAAAGAAACCACTAATCCCAACACAGATAATGCCCCCCGAAAGAAGTTAAGATAAAAAAACCCTATATAATATAAATATAAATAGTAATTCCACCCTATATAACTTTGCAAAAAACAAAAACAAAAAGCAAACAAAGCAGGAATTAATAATACTCCAATACGCCGGATTCACAATTTTCCTACTACATACATACATCCGTCATAAAAGTTAATCTAACTAGGTTAGTCTGAAAGTCTACAAAAAGTAATTATTATGACACACGGTTAAGTATGTTATAAAAATTTATTTACCATCTTATTTAATAATATTAATTTGGTTTTCTATATGTCTATATTTTCTCCTATAAATTTAGTGAAACGGAACATAGTTTTGACTTCGGAGAAACCTATAAATACATATAGTATGGCTGTGTTTAGTTGTAGGAATTTGGATTTTGGGGCTACTGTAGCACGTTCGTTTTTATTTGGCAAATAGTGTTCAAACATGGACTAATTAGACTCAAAACGTTCGTCTCGCAATTTCCCACCAAACTGTGCAATTAGTTTTTCTTTTCGTCTACATTTAATGCTTTATGCACGGACTGCAAACATTCGATGTGACAGGTACTGTAGCAACTTTTTGGAAGTTGAGGTGTAACTAAACAAGGGCTATGTTTGGAGACTTCACTGCAAGTTTAGGCCCTGTTTTACACATGTCTGCTTTATTTATTAGGTAGTTTTTTTTCGCACCATGAGTAACTCCACTGGTGGAGGAGCAGAAGCCATGTTGAAAAAATATTTGGTGAAACAACTTCTCCTAGTAGATCTGGGAGAGGGATATTTTCAGCTCTAGTTGAGGAGCTAATTCGTTTTAACCTATTTCAAAAAAAGTAGACCCAGACAGATTGCTGAAAGTACTGAAGAAGTTGCGTTAAACGGGACCTTATTCGCACTGTTTTTCAGCACTACTTCAGCAGTACTTTTCAGCGAAGGAACAATATTTTTCTCTCACAGCAAATCAGCATCAGCAGTCAGCCAAATTTAAGAGAAACGAACGGGGCCATTAGTTTTAAGTATTTTGTCGTTGATGATAATTTTTAGTACTGTGATGTGAAGAGAAGGTATAGTAGTGGCAATCATATCATGCGCGGAGGGAGGTGTGCCGTTGAACCAAAGTTGCATTATAAAATTTGATATTTTACTTAATTTTGAAAAAGAATAGTACAATTGGGCCCTTCACAATCGAGATTCTGGCAACGCCATCGTGACCGATAAGAAATGAAACACGCAATAAGCTAAGTGGAAGATGCCGATGAAATCCGACAAAAGCTGAAAGGCGGGCCATCCAAATTTGAAGGCCCAACCCATGTGGCGGATATGGGCCTATGCCATCCAAATTTGAAGGCCCAATCCATGTGGCCGGGCAACCAATTCCCGGCGCCCCAGCGCAGGGCAAACCCGCCGCTACCGCTAGCCAAATCCGGCATAGCGCCGGCCTCCGGCCAAATCGAGCGGCGGTGCAGGCGCAGCCACATCGCCACACGGGGAGAGGGGAAGCACAACGCCAGATCGAGGGGTTGCCGGGGCGTGCGGTCGTGCGGACGGCGCCGCCAGCCAGCCAGCCGTCCGTACCCGCTCCTGATCTCCTGTGCTGCTGCAGCCACAGCACACGGCAGGCGCAGGGCGAACAACGGCACAAGTACAGCTGCACAGGCTTTGTACGTACTAGCAACTAGCAGGCAAGCAGTTTGTCGTACTCGTGCTTTATTCTGAATTCCATTACACCGCACACTCGGGGTTCCGATGGCGGCGGCTCCGGCGGCGGCACCAACTCATTCGCCCGCGTCCTCCTCTTCCTCGGCGTGCCGCGCCGGAATCTTCTCCAGCGGGACATCCTGCCCCAATCTTCGCTCCGTCGCTGCTTGGGCCCCTGGATGGAGGCGCAGGGAACCGTACCCGGCAGTCTCCGTGGAGGCGGGCTCCGCGCAGTCTGCGCCGGGAGCTGTAGCCGTCGACCCCAAGGTTTGGAGTTTCTTCTTTTCTTCTGGCGAAATCTGCCTCTCTTATTACCTCGGAACCAAAATAGTTGGGGGATTGGAGTACCACACTTCCACATGATGGCTACAACTACAAGCCCAGGATGAGGATCCACCACTAGTGTTGTGCAAGGTTTTATTTAGTCCACTCAGGCCGTTTGGATGTCATCGTATTCACCTCAATCCACATGTATTGGGTTGGATTAGAGTGAAACTTGAACTAAATTCCATTCTAATCCACACCAACACATGTGCATTGAGGTAAATAAGACAACATCCAAACAAGGCCTCAAGGAGACTCGCAGGAAATACATTTCTTGTTGCTTCTCGATCTGGGTAGATTGCTCTGTTATGCTAAATAGGATGGCATGCCATAATGGTGTTTGAAGAAATTATGGTGTTAGTGCATTGCTTGCAGCCAACTTTCTTGATGCACCGTCAATGTTACCCCCTCTTGTCTAGGTACTTCGCCAGAAGTTGGTTTATTTTGGAACAGAGTATCAAATTGTCTAGTCAGTCATAGTCTCCACACCAGGTGACTAGTCGCAATTAGTAGTTGACCAGGGTGACCCTGGTCAGTCCTAGTCGTCCTATATATACCAGGACTAATATGCCAATTATATATTAATATACTGTATGTTCTAGAGAACAAATCAAGGAAGATAACTCTAGGGTGGTGGTTGCATGTAGGGTTGCCTCCGCCGCGAAGCCAGGCTAAAAAGTACTGTTCGAGCAAGTTGCCCTATTCGTTTCGTTGAAAAAACAGGCTAAAAAGTACTATTGATTAATTTGTTGTGAGAGAAAAACACTGTACCATGGCTGATAAGTTCAAGCGAACAGGGGAGGTGGGGCTGGAGCTGCGGTGGCAGATGGGCAGCATTTATCTTTATTCTTTCACTGAGTAAAATGCATTAAGAACTACAGCCATTTGAGACTTTGCAGTAGCTCTGTTACAATTTTGCATCAGTTTTGAATGGAAAGAGAATGTCTATTTTTTATGGTTTCCCTAATACTGAGTTTAAACTATCATTAAATCAATAAAGCCTAACATGTTCATTATTGTGCTGGATAAAAAAATCAGGTTGACATGTTACTAGACAGTGTGAAGTGGGATAGCAAAGGGTTGGCTGTTGCTATTGCACAGAATGTGGATACTGGAGCCATACTTATGCAGGGTTTTGCTAACAAAGAAGCCCTTGCAAAAACTATATCAACCAGGAAAGCTACATTCTTTAGCCGCTCACGGTCTTCCCTGTGGACAAAAGGGGAGACATCCATGAACTTCATTAATGTCCATGACATTTTCCTTGATTGTGACCGTGATTCTGTAAGCATGTTTTGTGTTGTGACTTGTGAGTAAATACTTTCACTTCAACTTCAGAGCGTACTAACTGTGTAGATGTTTTGTATTTTCATACAACTTAGATAATATACATTGGAAAGCCAGATGGACCTACCTGCCATACAGGAGCAGAAACCTGTTACTATACTTCAGTTTATGATGCTCTACAAAGTTCAAAGGTACACATCCTCAAGTTACCTTTTCCTGCAATAGACTTTGACTCATGATTAAAAGTAATATGTGATTTCCGTTCACAGCCCAATGAAGGCAGGCAGGTTGTGACAACTCTATACTCACTTGAAGATACAATTAGTAGAAGACAGGAGGAGATAGTTACTGAAGGACGTGGCAAGCCATCATGGACCAAAAAACTACTGCTTGATAACCAGCTACTTTGCTCGAAAATACGGTATGTGATGTTATGTTTTTTCTGAGCCATCACGGTACTGTATTATTATGAAAACTGTTAATTTTAATGGGAAAGAGAACAGGTATTAAAGCATTGAGTCTTTTCTCCCTTTTTCTTAGTCTAGTTCACCAAGTTCTGCATTTTAAAATATATTCATGTTGAATTAGCTTAATGCCTCAGTTGTGTTTATTTATGCTTTCATAGCACTGCATTTGACTGAAGAATTGATGGGTTAATTTGGTGCAACAAGATTTGATTGGTACAGGAGACCAAAACAGATAAATTCATTTGTCTTAATGTCAGGATTTGTTTATTCATGGTTGTGTATTGAGTTTATGACTTGGCATCAATAAATGTCTGTGAGAGTCCATTTACCTGACTGAGGCACATTTCATACCTTTTCTTTTGTTACTGCCATGTTTGTTCTCCTCCCTACTTTCTCTTAATGAGAATGGCAATATATTTCTCTTAATGTCAGTTCTGTTATTTTTGCATATAATTCAGTGAAGAAGCAGGTGAACTAATTCAAACACTGCTCGAGAACGAGGACCAATCTCGTGCTGCTTCGGAGATGGCTGATCTGCTGTACCATGCTATGGTGCTGCTCAGAGTCAAGGATGTAAAGATGGAGGAAGTCCTTGAGGTCCTGAGGATGAGATTTTCGCAGTCTGGTATTGAGGAGAAGGCTGGTCGTAATAAATCTTAGCGTGACTGGTAAATGGTGGATGACTTCTTTGCTCTCGGTTCCGCACTGGTGCCGAGTGTGAACTATGGAAGAATATCGTGTCTGATGATCAGTTATGAGTATGTTTTCTTTTTTCTCCAACAAGACGACTATGAATTTGTGGTAATCTTGATGACAACAGAGAGGTCAATAAAGTTATCTCGTATAAAATTTACACAATAGGAGGGCGGTGTTATTTTGGATTCTCTCCCTCAGCATTGCGTATCAGCACAAAATTTATTGATTCCAGGTATATAATTTGTAGTCTGCAGTACTCTCTCTTATCATGTACATGCCATTTGGTTGATCAAATGTCTCACCAATGAAAACTACTATACGGCCATAGTTTTTACTTGACAAAAAGTAGAGCTCTGATTCATGTAATTATAGTTATGTAGGGAGATCTATGTGGCTTATCGAATCTCAATGAATTATCTCTCTCTGCTACCCATTATGTAACAAATTTATACATCCTTCTCCCCGTGTCGAATTTTTTTTCCATGAATCCTTTTGCATACAAGACTATACAAAATTTCCGCAGCAACGCGCGGGATATCATCTAGTTAATATAAATTGGCAGCTCTCCTGATTGGTTCATTTAAAAAAAATCAGTTCTCATTTTTACACAATCCTGCCAAGCACACTAATCTCGTCATCGTTGTAATCTTTGCTGTTTTGACGTTCCATATATTATTCTGTCCTGAGTAACCTAGAACTTGTATACCTATTAAAATTTATTTGTTCTATGAATTGTTTCCTGAACTTCATTGCTCATGTAATGCAGCGACAAAGACAGTGTCAGTGAGTTTTGCAGGAGGACACCATTGCCTGCATGAAAACAGTACGGATATTTGCTGACCGAATTCGTTTAGAGGGGTTCAAATTTATCCGTATTCGAGTCCGGATATTCAACATCCAATACCGTATCCGTATCCGAATACTCAAATCGCATATTTATGATGTCGATATCCAATCGTATCCTATCCGGCATGGTTGACACTATCCGCATTCGAATCCGAATCCGGAAAGAAATATGAAAACAAATGTAATATCGATGATATCCGTCCGTATTCGATCCATTTTCATCCCTACCTGCATCCAACATCCTGGAACACGGTGGACACTGACCTCTCACGGCCATTTCAGAGAAACAATGTCCAAGGATAAGCTCTTCACGAGAGAGTTCTCTGTATAGAAACTTCTCTCCGTCATTGACAACTTCAAGAAATTGGGCGGCACACGCCGTGGAGGGCCAGGCGTGCTCCAACAACGTACCCCCAGGCGAGGGCGTGGCCACCCATTCCCTGCCACCGAGAGGGGGACAGCACGCCGTCGTGGACAACGAGGTGCGCCCACGAAAACCCAGTGCCATGCCCCCAGCCGCGGATATGACACCCCGGGCCAGCCGAACACGGGAGCTCCGCCGCCAAGAGGTTAAAGCGGCTCACCTCAAAGATCCTGTGTAAGGTGTCGTCGCCGCTGCTGCCTCAGCCAGATGTTGAGGCACAACGAAAGTTACCGACTAGTAGCAGGAGGATTGCCGCTCAGGCGCTGTCACGCGTCCCGGCTTCTAAGCGGGGAGAGGTGCTGGTGATGAAGCGGATGTGATATCTCGACGGGCAGACAAGGCCTTCCACGGCGTCCAAGGACGCCTACGACAGTATCTTCATCGATCAGCTTAACCCCTCGCATGCTGAGGCAATGCGACAGCTCTTCCCAAACCCACAAGGACAGCGACCGAGGCGCCGCGCACGCCAGCGCATCTAAACGCCGATGATGGCTACGTAGTATGATTAGCAAGTAATAGCTCATGGTCTCCTTATGCTAGGGAAGGCAGAGCCGATTGTATAACACTAACGCCCTCACCCTTGTGTGCCATGTTCGTGGCACGTCATTGTAACTTTCACTATTTCTCGATCTTAATATAAAGATGTGCAAATATTTTGCGTATTCGAGAAAAACAACATCAGAAAAAGCGACAACGGCAAGTTCTTCGTATGGGATGGCCAAAAAATCCCTTGGTGAGCAGTCGTCATCACTTGTTTAAGTCGACAGCACAGCAGTCAACAACGTCCTTGAATTTGATTCAACGGTGCCTTTTTTTCAACATGCATTATTTTTACGGGTCTTATTATGACCGACCTAAGTAGAAAGGGCCTCGTGCAAATGCAAGGACACGAAGGTCAATTCCATTTTTCAACTACTTTTCAGCTGTTTAGGAATGATGGAAATTGCCTGTTGATGAGTTATTGTAGTCCTTTAAATTCTGAGAGGTTTTCTCATCGGTGATCTATCAATCTGCTCCATGTTCATCACGCTAAATTTCTTCTGTACTGTTACTGTATAATTAAAAAAAATCACTTTCCAAACAAGTTGCAAATTGCAATGCTAAACCAGTTCTACAGGTACTGTTCTTGCATGTACATAAATAATAATAACTACTGAAATGCTACTTATAACATTCAACTTGGAAGTAATGATAAGAAAAATACAGTCATCCTAACCCAAATCTGGAGATCCCCATCCGATATGTGTGAACTGGTGTGAATATGCGACACTGGCGCGACGTCGCGACAGGTCGGAACTCGAAGGTGACATGACATGACTCTCGGTTGCTGCTTATTTTACAGGGCACTCGAGTGTTTTGGAGGCTGAAAACACTCTCTTTTATTTCTTCACAACTTCTTCTTCCTCAAGCCCGACGCGACGCCACCACCCACCGCCCCGCCGCAGCGTTGTAGGGTTTCGCCAGAGCTCCGCCAACGCCTGCAGCGGCGGCCTCCTTCCCCCCCCCCTCCCGCCGCTACCATGGCCATGGGCGCCCCCGCCCCGACCTAGCCTATCCGCTGAAAGATCCTAATATGGCTAGAGGGGGGTGAATAGCCTATTTAAAAAACTACAAATCAACTAGAGCAATTTGATTAATATAACAAATAGCGTAATGCAAACTTGCTCTAGCTCTACAAGGGTTGCAAGCCACCTATCCAACAATTCTAGTTGCTATGATAACTAACCACACAATTTGCAATGTTACTAGTCACTAAGAGCTCTCACACTTGCTACACTAAAGAGCTCCACTAGATGAACTTGAAACAACAAAGCAAGCTCTCAATTCTAATTACACTAAAGAGCTTGCTACAACTAGTTTGCAAGAATGTAAATGAGTGAGTAGAGTGATTATACCGCCGTGTAGAGGAATGAACCAATCACAAGATGAAGATTAGACCAATCACTGGGAGAATACAAATGGCAAGAGACAACCGATTTTCTCCCGAGGTTCACGTGCTTGCCAACACGCTAGTCCCCGTTGTGTCGACCAACACTTGGTGGTTCGGCGGCTAAGAGGTGTTTCACAAACCTCGTCCACACGATTAGACACCGCAAGAACCTACCCACAAGTGAGGTAACTCAATGACACGAGCAATTTACTAAAGTTACCTTTCGGCACTCCGTCGGGGAAGGTACAACTCCCCTCACAATCACCGGAGACGGCCATGAACAATCACTAACTCGTGCCGATCCTCCACCGCTGCACCAAGCCGTCTAGGTGGTGGCAACCACCAAGAGTAACAAGCGAAATCCACAGCGCAACACGAATGTCAAGTGCCTCTAGATGCAATCACTTAAGCAAAGCACTTGGATTCTCTCCCAATCTCACAATGATGATGGATCAATGAAGGAGATGAGTGGGAGGGCTTTGGCTAAGCTCACAAGGTTGCTATGTCAATGAAAATGGCCAAGGGGGTGAGCTTGAGCCAGCCATGGGGCTTAAATAGAAGGCCCCATGAAATAGAGCCGTTGTACCCCTTCACTGGGCTGAACACGGGCCGACCGGACGCTCCGGTCATATTGACCGGACGCTGGACCTCAGCGTCTGGTCGTGCAATGTGCGCCATGTGTCAACTGCTTCAAACGCCGATCGCCCGATTTCATCAGTCAAGAGATGACCGGACGCGTCAGTTAGAAAGTGACCGGACGCTGGACCTCAGCGTCCGGTCGTTTCCAGTAAGCATCCAAACGCAAAAATTCACGACCGGACGCGTCCG